TTTCTTCCTCTTCTGTCTTTGCAATGACCGTTTGCACTCTTCCTGAATGATACCCTTGATATCCTCCCACAACTCATCTGGCCTTCACTCATTAGTATTCAAAGCCTCAAACCTGTTCCTGAGATGGTTCTGAAATTCAGGTGGGATAGACTCAAAGTCATATTTTGGTTGCCTTGGATTTGGTTAGTAATCATAAATAATTCTGGTAGCCTATTGAGTAGGGAATTAGAAAACCCAAAGACTACGCCGAATTCACCAGTAGCTCTTAAGGAGAAGGATGGACAGTCTCCTCTTGTTTGAGTTACAGCCTCCTACAGGAACAAATTAAAAAGAACTTTGAGGAGAAAGAAGATCCCAGAACACTTAATTTGGCTCATGCAAAACCTATCCATATACCAAGAAGCTGTCATTTGAACAGAACAAGGGAATACTGTATGATTTAAAATCAGGAAAGGTGTGCATCCAGCTTGTATACTTTCTCCATACCTATTCAAGCTATATGCTGAACAAATAATTGGAGAGTCAGGACAATATGAAAAAGAATATGGCATTAGGATGTGAGGAAGAGTCATCAACAAGCTGTGTTATATAAAAGACACAATCTTGCTTGCTGAAAGTGAAGAAGACTTGAGGCACTTACTGATGAAGAGCAAGACAACAACCTTCAATGTGGATTACATCTCAGCATCAAGAAAACAAAAATCACCACTGCCGACCAATAGGCAACATTGTGAGAAGTGGAGGAAAAAGAATAAGTTGTTAAGAATTTAATTTTCCTTATGGTAGTAGTTGAGAAATAAAAAAAAAATGTGTTTCACTGGGAAAATCTGCTGTCAAATTCTCTCCATATTGCTAAAAAGCAAGATGTCAGTTTAAATATTAAAGTGTGCCTGATCTACACCATATCATTTTTAAATGCTTCAATTAACACCCTTGGAACCAATAGTCAGGAAATCAGGAGACATGTTGCCTTGGGCAAGTAAGCTATGAGACCTCTCCAAAATGCTGAAGACCAAGGATGTCAGATTGAAGACCAAAGTGCGCCTGATTCAAGCCATGGTTTTATCAATCTCAAGCCTGCTATGTATCAGAAATCTGGACAATTTATTCATTGTATGAATTTCATTAATTTGTATGGCAAAGAATTGATGCCTTTGAGTTGTGGTACTAAAGTACTGGAAATCCCATGGACTACCAAAAGAACAGACAAATATGCCTCAGAAAAAGAGCGGCCAGAGTGCTCCTTAGAGGCAGAGATTGTAAAGCTTTGTCTTTCAAACTTTAGACATGTAGCTAGGTGAGGCTATTCCTTAGAATAGTCCTTGGAAATATGGTCAGCAAAAGAGAGAAAGACCCCCGACAAGATAGACATGGTTACTTCAGCAATGGGCTTTAGTGTGTCAAAAATGATGGCGATTGCACAGGATAGAGCAGGGTTCATGTCAGCTGTTTATAGTGTTGCAATGAGTCATACTCAACTTGATGGCCCCTAACAACATGAATATGAATACCAAAGAATTCATGATACCTTTAAAATGTGGTGCTGATGAAGAGTATTGAATATGCCTTGGAATGCCATAAGAACAAATAAATCTATCTTGGAGAAGTGTTCCTTGGAGGGAAGAATGGTCAGACTTTGTCTCACTTACTATGTGAATATGTGAACATATTCACAGGAGGAAACCTTAAGTATGCTATGGACAAAATATTGAATGATCCAGCAAACATTAAAAGATGAAAAAAGTATACAGAGTTACTGTACCAAAAACCAAAATTGGCTGACCCAGAAGAATTTTTAAAAAACAGCATATGATCAAGAACTTATAGTGATGAAGGAGGAAGTGCAGGCTGCTTTGAACGACTTGGCAAATAATAAAGTCCCAGGAATTGATGGAATACCAATTTACATATTTCAACAAACAGATGCTGCCCTGAAAGTGCTCACCAGTTTGTGCCAAGAAATCTGGAGGACAACTTCCAGGCCAAATGACTGGAAGAAATCCATATTTATTCCCATTCAAAAAAAGAAGAAAGAAAGGTGACCCAACAGGGTGTGGAAATTATTGTACAATATAACTCATATCACACGCAAGCAAAATCCTGCTGAAGATTATCCTGAAATGACTGGAAGAGTACATTGACAGAAGTACAAGATGGGTTTAGAAGAGGCCATGGTATTAGAGACATTATCACCAATGTCGGATGGATCTTGGCAGAAAGCAAAAAGTACAAAAGCAATATCTATCTGTGTTTCATTGGCAATGCAAAGGCATTCAACTGTGTGGATCACAACAACCTGTTGCTAAACTTGATAATGGGAATCCCAGAGCACTTAACTGGGCTTATGCAAAATCTATACTTGGACTAGGAAGCAGTCCTCAGAACAGAGCAATGACACACTGCATGGTTCAAAATCATGAAGAGATGCATCCTGTCTCCATCGCTCTTCAATCTATATGCAGAACAAATCATTTGGGGGGCTGGGCTCTGAGGAGGAATGTGGCATCAGGTTTGGAGGAAGACTCATCAACAATTATGCAGATGACACATCCTTGCTTGCTGAAACTGAATAAGACCTGAAGTGCTTGCTGCAGAAGGTCAAGGACTCTAGTCTTCACTATGAAGCTCAACACCAAGAAGACAAAGATTCTCACCACTGGGCAAACTGGCAGCACCATGATGGATAGAGAAGAGATTGAGGTTGTTAACAGTTACTTACAGCTTGCTCAGCTCCACAATCAACCTACTTGGCACCAACAGGCAGGAAATAAAAAGACAAATTGCATTAGGTAAATCTGCTGTCAGAGATCTTTCCAGAGTACTGAGAAGCAATGATGTCAGTCTAGAGACTAAGGTTTGCCTGATCCAGTCCATGCTCTTAGCAATTGTTTGCTATGCATCCAAGAGCTGGATAATGACTAAGGATGATAGAAGAGCAATCAAAGCCTTCAAGCTGTGGGGCTGGAGAAGAGTCTTGGACATACCACAGACTGCCAAGAAAACAAATAGGTCTGTCTTGGAGAGGGTGAAACCAAGTTTCTCCTTTTCAGCTAGATTTTTTTATTTCAATGAACATTTACAGAGATTTTGTATTTCCATTCATTCTTTGTTTCACTTTTCTCCCCATCCCCTCCGACCCCCACTCCCAGTTCGCTCTTCTTTAAAAGCAAAAGAAAAACTCCTTCATTGGCAGGTAGAATTTTGAAGCTCAGTCTCACAAACTTTAGGCATATGGCTTGAAGAAGGACATCATTCCCCAAATGGTAGTGTGAAAATGCAGAAGAGGAAGGCCTCAGATTAGATGGACTGTTAACAGTAACTGGGCCCATGGGGATAGGTGTGTCGGAGTCAGTGAGACTGCATCAGGATAGGACAGGCTTCAGAGCTATTGTACATCAGGTATCAGATGACTGAAAGAACCTAATAACAATACTGCTATGCTATTATTAAGCATTGTCAAGTTGACTGACAGTAACACTATGAAGGAGGATCTGAACACTACCTTATCCTGTACCTCCCTCATTATCTCAATTGTTACAACCACTGTGTGAGTCCATCTCATTGAGGGTCTTCTCCTTCTTTGCTGACCCTCCACTTTCCCGAGTATGGTATCATTTTGCAAGAACTTATAACTTCAAACGACATGCTGAAAGTATGTGTGTCAGACAAAAGCATCATTCTACCCCTTAAAGAACACCCTTAACACTGCACCTCTCCGATCCATGTTTGTTTATGCATAGGATAGTTAGTATTGTTGTCCAGCACCACAACTGAAAGGCATCAATTCTTCTGTCATCTTTATTCATTGTCCAACTCTCAGATGCATAGCAAGGAACTGAAAGGACCATGGCTTAGATTAGGTGCATTTGGTCTTTAAACTAATATCCGGCATTTTGGAAAAGTCCTTGCCTGCAGACTTTTCCACTGCAACACGTCTTCTAATTTTCTATACCAAGTTGTTGATTGTGGATCCAAGAAGGAACTAATTGATAATTTCTATCATTTCTCCGTCTACCATGATGTTCGGCATAGTGGTAAGAAGCTGCGCCCCAATCCCAAAGAAACACGGTTTGAATTCACCAGCTGCTTGGGAGAAGGATGGGCAATCTCCGAGCGATTTACTGCCTCTGAAAATCCGTTGGAGGGTCAGCTATGGGTCAGTTCCGACTTGACGGCACACACCTCCATCACCTGTTGCCTGCTGGCCCAGTGGTGAGGATTTTAGTTTTCCTGATGTTGAGATAATACATATTGAAGGCTGTAGGCTTTGATCTGCTGCAGCAAGCCTTTCAAATACTAGCACAGCGACTCTCCGTCAAAAACTTTAAAGTGCCTGAATACTGAAAAATTAATTCCCTTGGTGATTCAGGTAGGCAAGCTTCCAGCCGCCGGAGGCCGAGCTTCTGGCAGGCGAGGTGGGGCTTCAGGGCGACGGTCCTAGGGCTTCCGGAGTTTGGGGCGGGGCTTCCGGTGGAGGCAGGCTGGCTGGGAGTCGGAGGTGGTGAGGCTGAGCTGGGAGCTCGGCGGAATCCAGCTTGGCTATGGCGGCGAACCTGAGTCGGAATGGCCCATCACTCCAAGAGGCCTACATGCAAGTGGTCTCTGAGAAGTCTCCGACCGACTGGTGAATGCCAGGGCGCAGGGCGGGTTACCTACGGGCCTAGTCAGGTAGAGGGCCAGGGACCTTCCCGCTGCTCACGGTTTTGTCGGGTGGATGTGGTGGGTGGGGCGCCTCGACAGAGACGAGTCCTGAGGTGCTGCGGCTGCTGGGGTCGCTGCGTGCGCCCTCGGCTGCTCTGCGCTCTCGGCTGCTGTACACTCTGCCTTCTTCCCCGGCCATTTGCAGGCAGGTTGGACACGGTTGGGGGCGCTTGGGGAGTCCGTGGCGCGCCGTCGAGCCAGCCCTCAGGCTTCCTGCGTTAGATTCTTGGCCTAGCCATGAGGAGCGCTTCGGAGCAGGCGTCCTGCAGACAGGTGCACACCGGGAAGGAGGATGCTACACCGGCCTTGCGTGCAGCTGGGCCCTCGGAAGTGACTTGGCTGGCTGTGCGGGTATCCGCTTCCCCTGCAAACCCCGAACCAGGAGCGCAGCAGGCTTTGCATCCCTGAGCCACAGCAACGTGACTTCCGGTGGTACTGGTTCCCCACTCGCAGAAAGCCCCTTCTCCTAATTTCCCTGTGATGTGCTCCACTAGGCTGTTGTGCAGCTAGGCTTTGCAGTATTGGAAGCCGGGAAATTAAATGTCTGCTCTGTGTTGAAATTCTCTGTCCCTTTCCCCCCGGTCCTCTTGCTTAAGTTGTCTTCCCTGATATATTTTGGAATTGCGCTGCCAATCCAAAGGCATTCAGGTCCACCAGCTTCTCCGAGCAGTCCTCTCCCATGCCTCTGAAAACCTGTTGCAGGACCAGACTACATAGCAGTCAACACAGGTGGTGTATTTTGAGCTTTTCCTAAACAACATGCCTCAGGAAACTCTATTAACTTTGATAAATGTCGGTAGTTATAGAAAGGTTTCAGGACTTTTGTTCATAGTATTGCTTTGACTCGAAGGCAATCAACAACAACAACAGTACTGAGAAGTATGAGCATGGTTGACTGAAGCGACAGCTACTGTAGTTTAGCCCATCTCTTGGCTAGGAGCTGTGGAGCTGCTTCTTCTGGGGCCTGGTCGCTCAGGTCTGTGGCCCTGTGCCTGTTCATTACCTGCCTCCACTCATTTAAGGGTCACCGTGTTCTCATTTCCTGTGTTCTGTAGCTTTCACAAAATGAATTATTGTAACACCAGAAGTCAGAGACTACTTTGACACTGGCTGTTCAGGAAAGACCTTTAGAGTAGTCACTCCCCAGAGCATGCAGAAACTTTAAAGAAACACCCCTGGGCAAGCAAGGCAGCCACCAATACCCCAGGCAACCCCCGGACAGCACTCCCTCTAGTGTGCAATTCCTTCTAGCCAAACAGTACATCCTCTTTGGAAGACATCTAATTAGGGTAGGATATCTGCAACTACTTTGCTGGACTTTGCCTTTGCCTTTAGGAAATTGTCTTTTTCTAAAAATTTATTTTTTTTTTAAATTTTACGAAGGTCTTAATCTGCTGACGCCACTTTTGCTCCCTGTGTTTGTACTTCAGGTGGCCCTCAGACCCTTCCTGAGACTTCAGACTCTGTTGGAAATATTTCCACCATCAATACCCCATTCTCACACCCACATAAGGGCTACTTAGCTTTGGAATCTGGAGGCATCTCTGTCCCTTTTCAGAGCTAAATGATGGATATTGCTTTTCTAAATAGACTTAGTCATTTTGGAAGTGTCCAAATTCTGCTTTTCGGTTTTCTTCCCAGTTTCTTGGAACTGTCACTGGTTTGGGTATATGGCCCCCTTTGAGGACTTGTCATATTTCTTGCCTTACCTTGGTCTTCTTAATAACTCTGTTATTCACAACCCTTGCCATGGGGCTTCCACCCTATCTCTTTCTTCCTTAGGATGCTCACTTACCCAGCCAGAGTCCACCTATCTTACAAAGACATCACCATCCTATACTGCTGTGCCCTGTTACAACATTTCTAATTGTACTACTCAGTGGCATGAACCATCCAGACCTCACATAACACCTGTTAAAGTTTTGACCCAGTACTGGGGAATCAATCCCTACTCATTAGTGAAAAATATATTTGAGTTGTGCCATACTTTCCTGCTTAAAACTATGGTGTTTCCTATTGCATGTTAAATAAACCCTGATACTGTGTGTCTGTCCCCCTCCCCTCCCCCTAAGCTGACACGCCCTTCGTGACCCAGCTCATATCTACTTCCCTGACCTCCTCTCCCATGTATGCATTTTGGCCACACTGGCCTCTTTCTGTTCCTCAAACTTGCAAGCTAGTTCTGCTTCAGAGTCCTTACTCTTGCTGGTTCATCTGCCTGGGTGCCCTTCTTCCATATTGCCCCAGATTACTCCGAAGCCTCATTTCTCTGTTCCAATATTAGCTTCTCAGAGAGGCCTTCCTTGATTCCTAGGTACTTCCTTCAAAGAAGTACCTTCACTTCTTTAAACCTTCACTTGTTTCCTTGTCACTGCCCTCTTCACTGGAAACATAAGCTGGGATCAGTGCCTCATGCTGGGAGTAGAGTTGTACTCAGATGAAGGGCAAACTAGGGAGTCCAAGAGACAACGTTAGAAAAGATCAGATGCAGGTGGTCTCCATCTGGTGATGCATGAAAGGTGTCCTGCACAGACCAGAGAGCATTGAAATCAGCCCTGTGAGCCAGATGGGATGGCCTTGAGCTGGTGTAATTATAGAGCATGGAGTATATACAGCCCCATCTTTCACACTTCATCTCAGGTCTGTCTTAATCTCACCCAATTTTCCATCTTAGAGTGACCATTTCTCTCTCCCCCACACAGTTACTCCCTCACAGAACAGTAGTATGTACGTGTGTGTTTATTTTGTTGCTTCATTGTATAGTCAGTTCTAAGAGTAAAACCTTTGTGTAACTGTTGACTGCTGCATCCCCATTACTTATAAGACGGATGACGTTTGGGGAGACACCATACTTCCTTGTTGTTCACAGACTTGCATACCACTTTGCGAGGTGGAACTCAGTAGGAGTGGGAATGAGCCTCTCACCATTCTCTCTTGTGGCTTAGACAGGTGCCCAGGATATTAAGAATGAAGCCAGAGTGTATTTGGAGGATGTAGAACTTGATTCTTATGAGTTGCTTGATTCCTTGTAATAAGACTAAGTTGAACTATCATCATCTTTGAGATCACTGCTGCTTGTGCCAGTGTTGATGTCTTCTGGTAGCCAGGCCTTGCAGCCATGAAGAGGAAGTGGTTTCATAATCTGTGGAAAGAAGGCTGTGCCCTCTTCCCTCATACCTCCCAATATCTATACTTTGGCCAGGCTGAACATCTCCCACCTTCTCACCTTCTTAGTCCTTCCTCTGGGATCTCTTCTTCAATCACTTTGTATTCTTCTCTTTATTCTGTTGAGTGATCTTTTTCTTTGCAGTCTGTTTATCAGGCCTAGCTCTAATTTCTTCTCTTTCCTGGATGAAGGCAGCTCTGCCCAGTGGTATTGTTAAGATCTTTGGACCTTATTATAGTTGTTAAGGTCATGGAAGCTAGTGAGGAGCTCATTTACTCACTCCTTTGTCTGTGAGACATCATCCATGGGGCCAGGGTCTTACTGGTCTTGCTGTTGCTAGACATCAGTACTCATTGACCTGCAGGGTAGAGAGGCTGGAAGGATGGTGTTGAAGGTTTTGGAGCTACCACTATGGCTGGCCTCTTGGCCACTTTTTCCAGAATTGTTCTTGAGTAATCTTGACTCTTGTCAGGGCACCATCCATGGCCCAGATTCATAACATTTAACATGTGTCCTCAAGCACCTTTGGAGCTCAAGTTGATAAACCTGAAAGTTTTCCAGAATTCTTATTAATAAATGAATATTTAAAGCAGTATTTGTAAAGAGGAGAAAGAAAAGTTGGATTGTCATAAGTGGGGCCATTAAGACCTAGCTGGATGTCAAACATTTATAACCTCTGAAGATGGCACCCATTGGGGTGAGTTGAGGGCAAATTTGGATGGCCATTTAACCTGCATACCCCTCCGTGGGACACTTCTCTGTACTTCTGATAAGAGCTGGTACGTAAGGAATGCAGCCAGGGGAGGCCTGCTAGACCAGCCTTTCTGGTTTCCTGGAACAGCTGGGTGGGTGTGCACAGCATGTTGGCACTTCACTGGTGCTTCTTGTGTTTCCTCCTTTAGGGTGCTTTGGGTTCACAATTTGTTGTTGTTGTTGTTGTTATGTGCCGTCGAGTCGTTTGTGACTCATAGCGACCCTATGTACAACAGCCCTAAACCCTGCTCTATCCTGTGCCAATCTCATTGCCTCTGACACACCCAACCCGATTACCCCAGTCACTGAATCAATCCACCTCATAGAGGGTCTTCCCCTCCTGCGCTGTCCCTCCACTCTGCCCAGCATGATGTCCCTCTCCAAAGATCTGTCTCTTCTTACAACATGTCCAAAGTATGTCAGGCGAAGCCCCAGAATCCTTGCCTCCAAGGAGCAGCCTGGTTTAACCCTCTCTAGGATGAATCTATTTGTTTTCTTGGCAGTCCATGGTACATTCAGTACTCTTCTCCAGCACCACAGCTCAAAGGCGTCAATTCTCCTTCTATCTTCCCTAGTCATTGTCCAACTCTCTGATGCATAACAAGTGATTGCAAAAACCATGGCCTGTATCAGGCAGACCTTAGTCTCCAGAGAGACACCATTGCTCTTGAGTACTTTAGAGAGGTCCCTAACAGCAGACTTTCCCATCGCAATACGTTTTTTGATTTCCTGGCTACTGGTGCCAAGAGTGTTGACCGTGGAGCCAAGCAAACTGAAGCTGTGAACAATCTCAATCTCTTCGCCATCCATCCTGATGCTACCAATTGGTCCAGTGGTGGGAATTTTTGTTTTCTTGACATTGAACCTCAGTCCATATTGAAGGCTGCAGTACTTGACCCTCTGCAGTAAGTGCATGAGGTACTCCTCAGTTTCAGCGAGCAGGGTTGTGTCATCTGCATGATGCAGATTGTTGATAGATCGTCCACCAATCCTAATGTCACGCTTCTCCTCATAGAGCCCAGCCTCTCGGATAATCTGTTCTGCATACAGGTTGAAAAGGTATGGAGACAGGACACATCCCTGGTGTATACCCTTCCCAATTTTGAACCATGCAGTGTTGCCCTGCTCTGTTCTGACTACTGCCTCTTGGTCCAGTATAGGTTTCGCATTAGCACGATTAAATGTTCTGGGATTCCCATTCTTCTCAGAGTCAGCCACAGTTTGTTATGATCCACACAGTCAAATGCCTTTGCGTAATCAATGAAACACATATAGACATTCTTCTGGTATTCTCTGCTTTCAGCTAAGATCCATGGATCACAATTTGTAGGTTCCTGGTTTTTTTTGTCTGTTTGCACCTGGTAACCATTTTCAAAAGTTGCTGTTTTTTTCCCTAACCTATTAATGTGTTCAAAATTGCCATATCTTCACAGCTTATTTTTTAACTTAAGGTAAATTTGCTTAGTGATCTTAGTAGGCTGTGTTTGCCCTTGCAGCAGGGTAAAGGGCAGGTTGGGCCTGCACCACCTCATTGTAGGAAGGCCTCACGGTCCACTGCTCAGCACCTGCAGGGGTCTGCTCACAGATGAGCACAGAATGTGGCAGAGTTCTTGGGGTGCAGCATGAACTGTGATAGATGCTGTGAGGACAAATGATACCAGAGTGCTGCTTATAGAGTCCACTTGTGTTTTATTCCAGGGCTCTCTTTACTTATGAAGGCAACAGCAATGACATTCGAGTGGCTGGCACTGGGGGTGAGTATGACCCAAAAAGAAAGTGAATGTACTTTCTTGTGGATCAGGATGAAGGAGCAAAGAGAGAAAGGTGCACTTATCTGAGGGGAAAGAGCTATGATTCTTGCTACCCATCACACTTGGCTTGTGAGCCATTGTTGCAGGAGGAGAATGACTCTGGACCTGTGTGTGGTGTAACTGCACTGGAACCTCCAGTTCAGGGTGGCCCCCACAGACCCCATCCACTCCTCCTGCTGACTATGCAACAAGCCCTAATGACCATAGGAAGCTTAGTTAGAACTGGGGAAGAAGTCCTCAGCTGCTCCTTCCGCCTGAGCAGCCCAGGCCTTCAGTCTGTCTGAGCAACTTTGACTAACTCTGGGTTAAAGGAAAACACTCTTGCTTTTCTAGCCGAACAGTGTAGCAGTGCTGGTATCTTCAGGTTAAGAGAGCTGGGAACAAGGCCCCTCTTCCAGCTCTTTGTCAGTCCATGGTCAGCCCCACATTGCAATCCTACCCCAGTCAGCGGCAATTAGGAGGATGTGCTACATATGAGTTTGCCTCGTGTTCATGGAGAGCTCATTGAGAGGTGTGGAGCCTACAGAGGGGCTTCAGGCTCAGGAGAGCTGAGTATGATGCCAGTTCAGGCCAGCCCACTTAAGGGATCCAGCTTCTCTCAGTCAGCAGGAGCCCTTTGGGAGAGGCCTCAGTGAAGTGGCAGGGTGTGCAGAAGATGGGATATAAGGAGTAAGACTAGATGGCTCCTGGTCAGGACCCATTAAAGAGGCTCACCCCCCACCGTTTTTCCTGGGACTTTACCAGTCAGTATGCCATTGTCACTCTCCATATACATTTCTCCAAGAGGAGCATGCATGCTGCCCTGATAAGTGGACAGCCAGGTTATCTTGTTACCTTCAGTTGGAAGAAAACTCTGTTATTTATTTGTGTCTCAGTGCCAACCCAACTGCAAAAGGTTTACATAGGAAGTTTGAGCCAAGGATCTGTAGGAAGCCACCACACCCTGTCCATACCCTTGAGTATGACACTGTTCCCTCTTATTTTGTCTCCTTAATGTAGAGCCTGGATAAAGGCTTAGAGGACCTGGCAGAGATGGCCAAGGATATTAGTCGGCCCTGACCAGGACGGAGAGTCTCCTTTTAGTGTAGTACTCACACTAACAGAGAATTACAGGATCTGTTGTTTCCCATGATGATAAGGACAGCTCTTTTCTGGCTCTTTCCTGTGGCCCCTAAGCTGTGGGGCATATAGACTACCCTGCTCTAGAGTGGACTGTCACTGTTACTACCTTTGTCCTTACCTTCTACCTCCTTTTTCTTTGAAGAACCTCGGCATTACAGGTAAGCACCAGAATGTCTGTTTCCAGCCACTGCTTGCGCAGATAATGGGGGTGAGACAGGCTGTGTTTACAATGAGACGAACTTTTCTTTGTTTTTTCACACTCTTTGACTATAGAAGTTGGGGCTGCTTGTCCCTTATAGATGAAGCTTAAGAACTAGAACTTTATGGGGGCAGACTGCCCAAGCCTAAAGAAGAGCTAACCAAACATTGTGCTTTGTTGCTTCCTAGTTCCCTGGGGGCAGTCTTGTGGGATACCTGACCCCTACAGCCTACAGGCTGGGACAAAAGTCTGGTATCAAGTCTCCAATGACCACCATCTTTTCTGTGTTGCTGAGGCAGAGGTGCCTTGCCCAGCCAGGCCACATTCTCCTCTTTTGAGTGGTGCCCTCATAGTCTTGACTGAGGGTGGGCCAGAAGGGACAGCAGAGATACAGTCAATCCAGACCTGCGCTTCCTGGCCTTCACTATGTCCTGTTAAGAACACCTGCCCATAGTGTCTGCATCTGTAGCCACATTGTCCACATGTTCTTTCTAGCACCTCGCTCTCCTGGTCCTTTCTTTTCTGGCACCCAGTTCCTTGCCTGCACCAGAAGGAAAATAGCACTGGGCCAATGTATATGTTGGGAAGAACTCCTACCCTAAGGCACAGAGGAGCTTCTAGACTTGTCTTATGGTAAAAGAAGGTTCAGAGGGAATCTGTGGAAGCTGTGGCTGCCTAGAGGATGTTTGCCCCTTGCCTGCCTCTACCCTTTTCTCCTGTCCTGCCTTTTTCTGGTATATTGAGCAGCCCAAATTGATCTGTCATGCCTGTGTCAACAACTTGACTTCCTAAGACCTTTGCATGTACCAGGTACTATGATAGAAGTAAGAATTAAGTCCTTGTTTGCGATGGTCTATTTCGCGCAAGGATATTCCTGTGGCTTATCTTTACTGGGAGCTTCCTCAAAAGATGAGAGTGTCTAGCCTAGGTATTGGGAAGGTTTAAGAAGTGAGAAGGCCAACCCAAGGGCTTCATAGCCTTAAGTGGCAGCATGAACAAAGCTCCGCTGGGAACTCAGCTGCCATGGAACATGGATAGTCCTAATGTCTGTGTTGTATTGGGCACCCCTCAGTGCTGTGGGCATTAGAGACCTGTGAAGGACAGTGGGCCAACTTAAGTCTCTTGACTATCACTGACAGAGGCCAGGCACTAGTCCCTAGGGGAGGTTTAGCAAGACATGATGAGAAGTGGTACGTAGGCCTTGGGCTCTGCCTCTGACATCCTGTCATAAAACTCATACCCCTGACCATTCTGGTGCTGAAGCCACAGTTCTTCATGGATTGTGGCAGCAGTACAGTAGGAGTGATGTAGAAACCATCCTATGGAAAAACTGCATTTGTCCTTTATTACCAAAGTTACTTATTAATTTAGTGGAATAATTTTTAAATTATTATATGTAAAAAGTCACCTGAAGTGCTTGTCATAAATGAGAATTCCTAGGTCTCACCTCAATTCTGATAAATCAGTTTAGTTGGGATGAGGCCAAAGGTCCCCTAAGATGACATTGATGCAAGGGGTGGGCGAGAAATGCTGGTTAGGGCTTGGCTCCCACTCTGATGGGCTGGGTGCTGGAGTAGGGGAGTTCCCTGCCTTTGACACACACCACCCCCCTTTGTGCCTCTCCTGCAGAGGGTGGCCTGGAGGAGCTGGTGGAGGAGCTGAACAGCGGGAAGGTGATGTACGCCTTCTGTAGGGTGAAGGACCCCAACTCTGGCTTGCCCAAGTTTGTCCTCATCAACTGGGTATGTGAACTGAGAGGAAGAGAAATGACTTCCTTTGCTGTAAGAATTGTCCCCAAATATGAAGCATCCAGAGGAAGCAAGGCTGAGGGAGCCATACATTAGATGCTGTGCTACCAAGGAGTGCTCCACTTTAGTTGAGTCTGTTGCCTTCAGAAGCAGAATTCTTTTCCCAGTGGAGCTCAGATACCAACAGAACAACCTATTGCTGGTTAATTAACAGTTAATTCATTGTGGATTGGAAAATGTCTTGCTTTTGTAACACAAAATTAAAAATACAATCCTGAATTATTTCTGTGCTGTTGTGTTCCGCTGAGTTGGAACCACCTCATAGCTGACCCTCTAAGTGGGTTTTCAGAGGTAGTAAAGCACACGGGAGGAGATTGACCCTCTTTTCCTAATAGATCAGCTGGTGGATTTGAACCAACTATGTGCTTTTGAGTTGGCAGTGCAATTACTTACCACTAAGCCTGTAAAGCTCCCTTTACTTCTAGTGGGTGAGACAAAATTAATCCCAAAACCTTGTTCCCTCATCTTCTTCAAGAGAGTTGGTCTGAGAAGAGTATCCAGAACCTCTGGGAATCTTCAGACCATGGTTTCTGCAGAGCTGGGGTGAGAGAGCAGAGGCAGTCTGCAAAAGACCAAAAATAACTCAAAGACAATAACCAAATCAACTGCCTTCAAGCCTGTTCTGACTCATTGCTGCCCTCTGTCCTGTTTCAAAGATCTTAAATCTTTGCAGGAGCAGGATGACTCACCTTTGTTCCCAGGAGGGGCTGGTACAATCCAACTGCTTGAAATTGTCTTTAGTAGCCCAACACCTAACCCACTGTGAGCCTAGGATCCTCTTGTAATAGGACAGAGCCCCAAAATTGAGGATTAGAGCAATTTGAAAGAGATTCTCCATAAGGGAAGCTAGCAGTGGGTCATTTTGCTTGGAGGTCTGGAGACCTGCTTTGTATGACATAACCAGGGTTCTATATCCTGCCTTGGGGCAGTAGAGGGAGCCAAAAGCCTGAGGAGATGGTGACCTTGTGGGGAGGGGCCCATGTTACAGTCTACAACAGCAGGGTGGTGCTGGTATGCTTTTGTCTCAGACAGGAGAGGGCGTGAACGACATGCGGAAGGGAGCATGTGCCAACCACGTCAGCACCATGGCAAGCTTCCTAAAGGTGAGATGGGTTGCGGGCAGAGACCATAATGAGACCAGAGTGTCTAAGTGTAATGGGTCTTTTCCTGGCTGCCCTCAAAGGGGCAAGGAACAATATTTTCCCTGATCTTGATTGCAGGGAGGCCCCTGCTGAGGCTCAAATACCTATGTCTGATGGCAAATACTACCAGGGATTTGTAGGAAAAGCTTGCTGCTTGTGCCTGCTATGCTAGCAGGTTGTTGACCCCTCCAGCAGGTTATCAGAGGCAGTAAATGACACACGAGAGGATAACCTGTCCTGCGGAGCAGCTGCTGAATTCAAACCATGCAAGACTGCAGTTCAGCTTTTTACCACTAGTCCACTAGAGCACCATCTTTTATGCTTTCCCATTTAGCGCATCTCTAATTGTCATGCTGCTAGGTGCCATTGAGTTGAGAACAACTCATAGCAACCCTATGAACAACAGATCTGAACCCTGTCTTATCTTGTAACATCCTTATTATCTCCAGCATGATTGAGCCCATTGCTTCATTTGGTGTCAATCTATCCAGTTGAGGGTCATCTTCTCTTTCACTGACCCTCCACTTTTCCAGGCATGATGTCCCTCAATAAGTAATAACCTTGCATAACAATATACACACATATGTGAGACAAAACTTTGTCATCTTTGCCTCCAAAGAGCATTCTGGCTGTACTTTCTCTAAGACATACTTGTTTGTTCTTTTTATAGCCCCTGGGATACTCAGTACTCTTCTCCAACACTGCAGCTCAATTGCATCATTTCTTCTCCTGTCATTATCCAGCTTATTAGATGCATAACAAGTTATTGAAAAGACTGGATTGGGTACACTTTAGTTTTTAAATTATTATCATTGCTCCTCAGTAATTTGGAGAGGTCCCTGACAGCAGACTTTCCCATTGCAATACGTCTTTTGATCGCCTGATGATTGGTACTAAGGTTGTTGGTTGTGGACGCAAGTAAGATGACACTGACAGTTGTTTCAGTGTTGAGAATTTTTATTATCTTGATGTTGAGATGGCATCCATATTGAAGGCTGTAGTCTTTTATCTTCTACAGCAAGTGCTTCAAATTCTCCTCACTTTAGCAAACAGGATTGTGTCTGCATAATGTAGGTTGTTATTCCTCCAATCCTGATGCCACATTCATCTTCATAGAGTCCAGCTTCTCGAATAATTTGCTCAGTGGACAGATTGAATACGTATAGAGAGGCTACAACCCTAACATACACTTTTCATAATTGTGAACTATTTGCTATTCCTCTGCCCTATTCGCACAAATAGACATCCTTTCTGATTTTCTTTACTTTCATCCAGGATCCATCTCACATCAGTATTGATATCCCTGGTGCCACAATTTCTTCTAAACCCAGCTTGAACTTCTGACGGTTCTCTTTGTATTGTTCTAACTGTTTGGGTTTTTTGGTTTTTTTTTATTATCTTCAATATTTTTCTTACCTGACCTATTAATGATATTATTTGATAATTTCCATATTCTATTGGAACACCTTTTTTGGGAATGGGAACAAATATAGATCTCTTCTAGTCCATCCATCAGCCAGGTAGCTGTCCTCCAAATTTCCTAACACAGGCTGGTGAGCATATCCAGGGTTGCATCTGTTATTTGAAACATTCCATATGACAGTCCATTGATGCCTAGGACCTTATTTTTGGTCAGTTCTTTGTGTCTTTAATTTCTCCCTTCATTACCATTGAATTTTGATAATACAGTATTTCTAAAATAACTCATTGTCAGCCAATTCTTTTTGGTACCATGATTCTGGGTATTGCCTTGGTCTTTTAGTATTTCCTGGATCATTCAAGATTTTCCCCATAGCTTCTCTAAGTATTGCAGCTTGAGGCTTGAGTTCTTCCATCTTGAGAAGTGCCATGCAAGTTCTTCCCATTTTTATTCTCCAGCCCTATTAATGGACTATTCCAGCATAGTCTAACACTTTGCTTTGTCTTCTCAAGTTGTCCTTTGGAATCTTCTGTTCAGCTCTTTTACTGTAGCATCTCTTCTCTTTGTTTTGGCTTCTCAATGCTGTAATTCAGTTTTCAGGGTCTCTTCTGACACAAAGGTTGTGATCCCCTTCCCTCCACTGGCTTTTGCTGTCATCATGATTGGTATTCTTGATGTCATCCCATAACTCATCTGGTCGTCATTCATTGATGTTCAGTGCTTCAAACCTAATCTTAAAATGATTTTTGTATTCAAATGGAATAGGCTCATGATCATATTTTGGACTTGTGGACTTATTTTAGTTTTCTTTAGTTGCAGTTTGAACTTGCGCATGAGTAATTGATGGTCTGTTCCACAGTCAGCACCTGGCCTGGTTTTGACCGCTGATATTAAGCTTCTCTAGTGATTCCTTTAGTAACTAATGCTTACCCCCACAATAAGGGATTTATCTTTAACTGCTCCACAAATTGCTGTCTGTCAGATACTCCTCTAAATCTGAACATTCAGATCAAGACAG